GTTATACTTGACAAAGCATGTTTGCAGTAGGAGTAGGAGATTCCTAATGTGGCATTATGCAGGAAGAAAATTCACAATTTGTGACCAGACAAGAAAGACATCTTAGTAAACACTAGTTGAAAGGAGAGGCTGCAGACTTTAACCCTTGCAGGGAAAATGAATGGCCACTAGTAATTTAAAGTGAAGCTTGAGCAAATTCTCATGTGGGAGAGTCATCCCCTTAATGGAGAACAGCTGGTGTTATATTCCCCAGTCTTTGCCCTTTGTGGAAATGGAGCTCTCCTTGGTGCTGAACTACTGGCTAAGTGGCATGACAGTCCACAGTTTTGTGCTCAGTATTACTCACGAGAATGACCCAGGTTCTTCAGTAAGGGGGTTTGTTTTTGAAAAGTTCAGTAGTCATTTTTTCTTTACAGGTGAAGCACAATGATGATAGGTAACTCTTAGCATAGAGTCTGTCCATTTGAGCTTGACAGAAGATATAAGATTATAGGGTTCTTTTAAAGGGTATATAATTGACATTTCTAAGCATCTTGAACTGGACTCATGTAGTTCATGTAGTGAGTAAGTTCACAAATGAAGAAAATGATAGGCAATTAGTGGGCCTACAGTGAGTTCCCATTACAGTAAATAACCTGAACAATTGACTGTGTTACTAGGTTTCCAGATCGTTAGTTGCAAATGGTGTAATACATATTCTAGTGTATTATGTTGTGGCAGTGTGAGATAGTTTACTGTATTATGAATACTTAATCGGTTGCATTAATCTTACATATTGCCATGAATGACTCTTTTTGTCAACTGAAATAACTGTCATTCTAGTTATTTGTTGTATAGTAGTCCTGAAATGATTAATCGTCAACAATTTTGATAATCAGTTAATTGTGGAAGTAATTTATTAAGGCTGTGGTAGGCAACATAGGAGGAGCAGCAAGAGACAGGCCTCCCTCCAAAGCCACTCCTCCAAACACATTTTCGCAAGTAGGTAGGCAGGTAGGCATTCGGGCTGAATGAAATGATTGGCTGTGCTTATTGCAGTCCTGCAACATCCGCAGATACCAGATTATGTTTAAATATTTGTGTGAGAGCATTTGATTTGTTGATTGATGTTGGGATGTAAAGAGAATTTCAACAAATATGACAAAAATTGCTTCTGAAATAAAGTGGAAATACCAATAATTTGTGGTTCTAGCTTCACCAGTGTGAGGATTTGCTGCTTTTCTTTGTTTTATATCATTGTAAACTGAATATGTTTTTTGGGCTTTAGACTGTCGGTTGGACAAAACAAGATATTTAAAGATGTCACCTTACTGTGCATTTAGACCAAACATGAAGTGAGCATTTGGGGCAGCGCGATTACAGACAAAGTCAGTTGAAAGACTCACGTGAGAAAGTTGCATGACGCTGTGTCGCGATAGCTTATCAGACTCTGTGAAACTGTGATGGCCATTTTTCACTTTTTTGTAATAGACTTATAAAAAAGAAAACATGACAGATGAATCGATAATGTAAATAATCATTAGTTGCAGCTCTGCTGTACATTCTACACTTTACTGGTTATTTCAATTCTGTTGCATATTACTTGAAATAATATGATGACTTAAGTGATCCGATTCTATCGGGGGGGCACACAGATGAACGTGTCTCTCTCCGGCCTGTACATTAAGAGGTAATCTCCAGCTCTGTCATATTCACTCTCGTCTATTTCCTTAATCCATCCAGGAATTTAAAAAGTTTTCAGTCTCTTCTATCTTTTCAGTCAAGTAGAGCTCATGCTTGTGGCTTCAGTGTGCAATCAACGAAGAGCATTACTATCTCTTATCTTTGCCCCTGCACTGGCCTGGAAAAGATGTGAGGGGAAGCATCTCAAAATAACCAATGCCATGGAGTGTTTACTGTGAACAGTCTGGCGCACTGTGACATTTGGGCACAACACAAAAGAGAAAGTAATAACTGAAATTGCTGCTGCTGTCCTGGTTAATGGAAAAGGTGAAATCCACTGAGTAGTTTTGAGGTGCTGAAACAAAGTTGGTGGAGAGGTCAGAGTTGCAGTAATTAGATGTGATCCCTACCAGGCAGTGCTGCTATGATTGAACTGTTTTATCAGTATCCTCTTTAATCTATGCCATGGGTGAACATTTGGATTGAGTAGACTTGTGGTGGTTTTATAGACGTGGGAGGAGAGTCTCAAAACACTATCTCCGAGTCCTTGGGGCTTTATGGCAGTAAACCTGGAGAGCAATAATATTTGTCATAGGTTTAATGACAACTGTGTCTCCAGGCTTCAGCTATTATGTGCACTGCATTCTTAAAACTTCAACAGCTCAGCCAATCACATCTCTGGATATACTACAATCAAATCCCATGAAGAGGTACAGGAGTTTGGAGTGCTGTGGTTGTTTAAGAAGTTTTAAATGAACAAGCACAACGACACTGAAGAAACCTGTAAAACATTATTTTGTTTGTTCATATGTGTTTTAATTTGTAAAAAAGACTGATTCGTTTCCTAAAAGAGCTGTGCACTATAGTTTTTAGTAGAGCATGACCGTTATGAGATTTTTAAGACCAATAATATTGACAATTTAAAAATCTGATATTCCAATTTATTGGCCGATATTCTTTTTTCCCCCTTTTTTTCAGAAACACATAACATAAACAAAAATTATCCTTAACATTTGTTGGGTGTAGTTATGAGACCTCACCAAGATAACATGACAAACTAGTCCATGGATTTGTTACTTCGAGGCTGGATTACTGCAATTCCTTATTCTCAGGATGCTTGAATAAGTCCATTAAGACACTTCAATTGATCCATAATGCTGCAGCACGTGTTCTGACAGGAACCAGGAAAAGAGATCATATTTCTCCTGTTTTAGCTTCTCTTCATTGGCTTCCTGTAAAATCCAGAATAGAATTTAAAATCCTTCTTCTAACCTACAAAGCTCTTAATGGTCAGGCACCATCTTATCCTACAGTGCTCATAGTTACCTTACTACCCCACCAGGGCACTGCGCTCCCAGAATGCAGGGTTACTTGTGGTTCCTAGAGTCTCCAAAAGTAGAATAGGAGCAAGAGCTTTCAGCTGTTGAGCTCCTCTCCTGTGGAACCAGCTTCCAGTTTGGGTTCAGGAGGCAGACACCATCTCCACATTCAAGAGGCTTAAGACTTTCCTCTTTGATAAATCTTATAGTTGGGGCTGACTCAGGTAAGTCCTGAACCATCCCTTAGTTATGCTGCTATAGGCCTAGACTGCCGGTGGACCCATGATGCAATGAGCTTCGCTCTCCTCCTCTTTCTCTCCCTCTGTATGCAACCTGATCCCATTAATGCATGTTACTAACTTGACTTCTTCCCTTTCCCGAAGTCTTGTGTTATCTCGTCCCTCTCCTCTCTCATCCTATCACTTTCTGCAGGTTTTTCTGGCTCTGGAGCTGTGGAGTCTGGAACTGTGGTTGCGAGTTGCCTGCTAACCCCATGTTCCTGCTCAACACCCTTTGCTACAATTGTTATCACTAGTCCTATCATTGTTATTATTATCATTAACATTACTATAAAAATAAGTACCATTATTCATTTTCAGTCTGTACCACTGTTACGTTTCTTGTATTTCTGTGTGGATATTCTGTTGACCTCTCCCCTCTTAGAAAGAAATAATAATAATAATAAATAAATAAATAATGAATTGAATTGAATATACATAATGCAGTTTAAAAAAAATATTTTATTGTTATAATTAGTACTTTTAGATTTTCAACAACAATAAAGCTAAATCAAGATATGGCTACACAGGCTACAATAATAGGATCAATTTATTGTTGGTTTTGCTTTTGATGAAAACTGTCAACCACAAAATAGATTTAGAAGATCCCCTGACATATCTTTCTAAAAACGAACCTTTCCAAAAGTCCTCATGTTCTTGTTGCAACTTTGAACACAGTAGATGCCTGATGACATAATTTGTCTCTTGTTGGGATATCAGCATTTTACATCTACTGTAGGTCTTGCTTTAGTTACCCATCATCTATTAAATCATCCTATCAGCACCTCTAAAACTCAGTAATGGGACCAGTAACTTCCTGCGGTCTCTGCTGTTTGGCTGGCAACTATTCCCAGCCAAGAAATAGACAAATGTATTACCCCCCTGTGGCAAATTGTCATTTGAGCTGTTTGGCCTTGTTTTCAGTCTTTGTGCTAAGCTGAGCTAACCAGTTAGTGGCTGTACTGTATATTTCACCGACCGGTAATAGTTTTCTCACCTAATCCAAGTGTTGAATGAGTCCTTTTTAACCTGTACATTTTCTAAAAATATGTTTTGTATGGTTCCAAATGATCAGAATCACTATACTTACCTCCTTTGTCAGTTAGAATGGACAGTTGTCATTTCCATCTCATGCATAACATGAGGAGGATATTTTGGACCTTTCGATTCTGTGACACGTCTAATAAATCTTAGGCGCTCTCTCTAGGTCAAGTATTCCATCAGTGTGCCAAAAGAGGTGGGCCATATTCCTTGCGAGATGTGTCCCCATCCTGTCCACTGAGCAGTCTGTCCTCTGTAGGCTGCGTCCTTGTCTGCCTGTGTCACACCGCACCGGGACTGATGTGATCTGTTTGACAATAGCGGCCTGTCTGCCAGGTGCTGTTTTATAATCCTGCTTTGCAGGAGTCCCTTCTAGTTGCTAAAATAACAGGTGAACTAGCATTGGTGGAAAAGGAATGATATGAGCCATATACAGGATGTATCTAATGTTGAATGTAGAAACCAGCATGAGTCACTCTTCACCATTTTATTGAGGCTGTTTGGCACTGAACAGATAACCAAATTGACATGTTATTTATGTTTGTGTGTATATATAAAGGTTGCCTCCTATATTAGATGTCTTAGAGTTTTCGCGTGTAATATCTATAGCTCAAATGAGATAAACACGTTATGTTACGTTATGTAGTATTTTTTGACCAAACCTTTTTTTCAAACAAAAAAACAAGAAAGGCAAAACAAATCCGATACACAATTTATAACGTAATGCATCATTACAGGCTTTAGTTTAGATGTCTACACGGATCATACATTGAAGTGACACATTTGACACTTTTTTTTGAGATGTTTTAAAATAAGTTTTCAGTGTTCATTGGCATTATGTTGTACATTCTTTTAATGTCTCTGATAATGAGGGTGTCATGTACATAACAACAATCTAAGTGTTTTCCTCCATTTGTATCAGCAGTAATTGCTAGCAATTAATGTTTACTGGCTTCTATCTTTTGGCATTTGCTTTACTTGTGGGTATGTACACATTCTTTATTTGTCAAAACCCCTGTCCGTTTGCGCCCTACCAAGACAAAACAATGACTGAAAAATTAAATCAATTAGGGGCAGTCTGAAGAATCTGGATCAAACCATCAAAACTTGCATTTCAATAGAACAGAAGAATGACATTACTTCGCTTTAACCATTACAGACACTTTTGTAGATCTTTATGTTCTTGTTGCTGTTACAGAGAGTTTGTTATTCCTCTATAAAAATGTGGTTTAAGATAACATTATGCACTTTGCAAAACATAATCACACAATAAAGTCATATTTGTAACCACATGAGTAAGGAACCATACCCCATCACATTTTAGAAACCATAGCTACAGTGGATAAAACTGAGATGCCTCAGTCGCCAGATACTAACATAGACTCTCAAAACATTACAGACTATAAGTTACAAGCTAAAAGCAGCATACTGTAACAGAGTGTACACTTTATGCTTCATATGTACAAAATGTTCTTTTACGGGCGACTCGATAAAACCACAAACCACCATAACAATCAAATAAATCTACAAAACTGATCTATACCTAGTACCGAACATGTAGAAGAGAAACTTGTTACGTTCTTGTGACTGATTTGTCTTTGTCCTTTGACAAAATGTTATGGCTATTAAATGAGTTCACACGTTTTATGAATTATGTTCCAGACAGTGTGTCTATTAAATGTCAGTTCAGTCAAAAGTGCACTGATGGCACACGTTCTGAAGTGAGTTTATTCACACGATTATCAGATCACAGGGTTTAGCCCCCCCCCCAAAAAAAATTCCCCCAAAAACTTTTCCTAAGTGTGAATCTCACCAAATTGCCCCCTTGAGGCACCGAAGGCAAATGAGCTGATATCTCAGCAACAGCTTCAGCTGGTCTGTTTCCAATGCAGTCGATCCTCAGATATAATCCACTGTTGTCTGTGATTGCAGTGCTCTTACAGTCCTCTGTTGCTCCTGTCCATTTCAAGAAAAATGGAGGTGCCCCACTTTGGTAAAGGTTTAAATTAATATGATTTGAATCACTTCTTGAGATTAGAGTGTTGATACATACTCCTCAGATCCTACAAAAGCTGGAAACCTTCAAGCTGTAACACTATTGGTGTTAAAGCAAAGGCTAGTGTGAGGACCATACTTGAGTGATGTAAGCAGGTGTGTTCAGCTGCTGAGCTTCTAGCAATGGCGTTTGAGTCACCGGACTCATCCAGTTGATGGTTCTGAGGGAAAGGATGAAGGTGTTTGTGTTACATTAAGTGGGAAGTTGACATATTATTATATTTATATTTAATATTATAATTAATATTAATATTTTAGAAGTTTTTTTCTTTCTGTGGACTTCACCATGAATCTGAAATTTAAAGAATCACAATACATGCAGCTTGTATAACTACAATATTATAGTAAGTTTTCTGATATCGATGACTTTGAAAGTCAGAAATATTAATCTTTATTTGCATTGTGGCCACATTTGTTTTATGTGATATATTTAACACTTGGGGTGAGAACTAGATCCCTATACAATGTCTGAACAATAATTATTATTATGATGGAGCAGGAGGGAAATCGCCAGATAAATGTTTTTACACATGTTGAGGTGAAAATGTTGGCGTTACAATTTAAAAACAAAATGCAATAAAGTGTAGTGGAAACAGACTAAGCGAATACATCTTAAAGTACATGAATCATGTATGTTGAGCTTCCACCAAAGCTTCTGCTGCGCTAAAGAGATTACAAATAATGGCAGATGAAAACATCAGCTATGTGTGGACCGATGAGGAGACTAAATTTCCTTAAATAAATACACGAAACAGACATAAATGCCATATTTCCATTGTGTTTTCAATATAGTTTTTCACCATTTCGGGTTTGACTGACACTCTTTTAATTACATTGCACTCTCTTCTTCTGCAATGGTGTCATGGCACCTGAAAATTAGCACCACCCACTATTGTAGTGGATGAAAATGCACATTGATTTCATTTTCTTTTGCATGTTTAGCATTTACAAGTTGATTTTTCGACTTTAAACTGTTGAGCACATATATGCATATTTGTCCTTAATAACCAATTATTATTAATAATAATAATAATAATAACCAAATTTAAGAGATCCATATAAAATATTTGGTAATATGTCTTTTTAATATTACAGTTTTTGTAACTCAAACATCAATATCTTAATCTGCCTCACAAATCCACTACTGTTTGGGCTCTAATAGGAACCTTGATTGGAGTGCACAGAACAAAACATACCCAACACCATCTTACCAAACATAGAGAAGTATCCACTGTTAGATTTGAAACCAGTTTTTGTGCCTGGAAGGAAGAAAATAAGAAAAACATTAATTTTCATTCTTTTTTGATTGTGTTTGCTTGTCTGTCAAAATAACAGACTGGCTGATGGTTGTGCAAAAATGCTATCAAATTTAGAGCAGACTATGATTCATTTAGTCGGTCTCAGTGTGGTGGAATAATGAAATTGTCATGACCTGGACGTTGAGTTGTGGCTAAAGGAAGGGCATAGTTGTCGAAATAAAACAAGGTCAAGGTAAATCATTACTGCATCAAGCCAAGCTCCCATTGCTTGCACAGTTGTGCAGCAAAATACACACTACAATAATATTTATGGTAATACCTTTAGTGCCCACCATTTCCCATAGTTTAGACCTACATGCACCTCTTTGTATAATCATTCTCCTCGAGCAAGATATTTAATTATTGTTTGTGAAAAAGTTTGTCTGTGCAAGATTCCCCGTTTGTGCCAGCTCAAGGTTATGACAGTTTAATACATTCAAACTTTTTCTCAGACTGTTCCAAACCTTTTTTAGCCACACATAGCAAATACCCACACGCATTTGCACACACACACACACACACACACACACACACACACACACACACACAAATACACACCCACAGATACAAAGATGGAGCACAGAAAATGATAAAGTGACTCTATAGTGGTTTGGGAACATAATAAACACTCCACGTGTTGGTTCTTAAGTAGAAAGAAATCTATGAACCAAGATTCTAGAGAAGAATGATTAATTGCTCTATAGGAGGTCCTCTGGAGGATGTTTTTACTGGCGATAAATCATATTATCACTATTTAAAGCCAATATGATAGATTGTCTCGCTTAAAGTATGTGATATCATCTCATTTAAAAATATAGCCCCATAGATTTTATCACAGGAGAAAAGCAGAGGTCTGAAGTGTGTAGGTGAAGCCAAAAAGTTCCAATCGAGCTAGAATACTATAAGCACATTTAAACAATTAAAAAAAAAAAGTTAAAATCAGCGCATTGAATGGATTTTCTACAACTGCATTTAATAATTCAAAAGTAATATCCATTCACATGTCATTATTATTATCAAAGTCACACTGGAAATGTTGGCAAATAAAGCTCTGAGATTTTTATGCCCATTATTATTATTATTATTGTTATTATTTAACATGTTAAATTAAATGAAAAAAGAAAAAACTTCAGTCACGGCAGTCTAAATCACATTGCAATTATTTTGCGATATGAGTGTTTTACATTTAATCTTTACTGGAAAAATATCTAAATGTTGTGATTTTTGCTGTGGTCTTTAACAAACAAGCATGTTCTTTGTCTGGATAATATGATTTGTAGGCAGGGACTTCTTTGTAGTATCACAATGCTTCATTTATAATGGTATGTTGTACATTCATACATACAACGTTTTACATTTATCAAAGAAATTGCAGCTCCTGTGATTTGAATATTGCACTTGGCCATATTGCGACCTTGTCCTAGTTTATTGTGAAAAGTATACTACCTTTTGAAAATGACAATGTTACCTAGAGCTGCAGCATTAATCATTTTCTAAAGTTTTATAGACCAAACAATTGATTAATCGAGAAAATAATTGACATATGTAAATTAACGAAAATGAAAGGAATGTTGAATGGAAGGAAGGTTAGTTGCATCCCTAATGTCATCCTACGGTCAATTTAGTAGTTAGTCATGTTGGAGCTTTCTTCACGTATAGTCTTCCTCATCAGATGGAATTTGTTCAGGAATTGAAGAGCACTGGAAGGATTTCTCATCCATGTTGGCTTAAAATTACATTTAGTAGTTGTTCTGCAACTTTGGACATCTACTGTTGCATGACAGCTGTGCATACTTAATCTGCTGAGGAAGATCGTGTGATGTGACCAGAAGCTCCAGTTTTGCTACTAAATGGACCTTGTGGTGAGATTGTTCAACTAGTTTACTAGTAATTATATTTGAAAGCAGCTATTTTGAATTAGCCATTTACATTAAACAGACAAGAAATTTGATATATCCTTACGATGAAACAGTGTCCCTGTGCACATACAGACACACACAGAAGCACACTACCCCTGTGGGCTATTTCTGATGTTACTGTGGCAACCAATTAGCTTTGACATGACAGCTTTGGAAACTCTGACTCCATACTGACGTCTCATCTTTCTGCCCAAGAGGGGGGATTGTGTGCATGCCATCATAAAACCATCCTCAATCCATCAAGGTGACAGAGCTAGACGTCTGACACTCAGACAGAAGCTCTGAATAGATCTCTACCTGATGTTTGGATCTCAATTTGGAATCAGGAACTTTTCTTCAGAAGTTCTGAGAAGTGTCTGGTGCCTTAAAAATTTACAAGGACAAAAAAGCCTGGAAATCAAAACATTTGTTATCGTGTAGATGGATTTCATGTTTTTCCTTTGATTTTGCCTTTAAAAACAGCTTGGTAGAAGTGTTTTTCTTTTTTGTGTAGAAAAGAGGCGCTGCTACTGCACTGAGAGTTTGAGTTATTATGAAAATTGTAAATAATTATATTGCAATTCAGCGGTACTCTTATTTCAGCAGAGATTTCCTTATAAGAGCAATAAAGTTTCTCCATTAATGAGGTCAGTGGAGGTATAAGCTGGCAGGCTGTCTGAGTCAGAATCAAATTGGGTCAAATTATTTGGAGTTATATAACAGTTTATTTTGTCTAAAAGCATATGAAGGTCTTTTTGTGTCTTTAATACAAGCATATTTATTGCACTGCAATCAAATATCAGGTTTGTAATTAAAAACAAACAGGCCTTTTTTGTATCACAAAAACTTTTAAATGCTAATTTGTCCTCTTTGATTGCAAGTCAAAAGGTTTTCCTTGTGAGTCACAAGGTTTGGCAGGTTAAATCGTTTTGCATGTCGAAAAGTTTTGCGAGTCAAATATGAGATTCCATTGGTGGGTTTGACTGACCAATCATGATTTTGCATTGACCGCATTGCCATGCCCAAAATCCCCTCGCTCCGATGGCGCCGACCAGCACTTAGCTCCACTGGAGACGGAGCTGTTAACTTACGTGTACAGGCTTGATGGAGATAAGTTGACGTTATGTCATTAATTTCCATTGAAATGCTTTTTAATGTAGTATGGCATGATTTAATGATTATTGATATTTACCGTTGGCAAGGTCACACAGTCTATCACTGTTATGACCTTGCATGACCAGATAGTTTTATAATGTTGGTGAACATCCAGAGACTTGGCTTTAACTGCATGAGCTCTTAGTTTATTTACGATCCAACTTCAACATGTTAGTGATACATTCCTTCAGCTGTAACCTGACTAATCACACCTTGGAGTTACTCCGCCTCCTCCTCGGACAATAACCTCATCACAATAGTATAAGTGCGCGGCACTATATCTACTACATCCTCCTTTCACAGTATGAAGGTTACACTATACGGCTGCTATAATAAATCTCTTTTCAAACTGAACTTTGTGTTCCATTACCATTACTAATTAACTCACATTTGTTTTAACACAAGAACTAGTGACCTTGTAGCTCATATTAACACAGATCTATAACTTCTGTTACAGTTACAGAAATGTTAGCAAACCATCTGCACAAACAAAATACAATTTCTTTAACTTGTCTGTTGTCCTTTGTTTTTTCTTTAACACAACAAAACAACTTAACAATTCAGTTTATTAGCTTAGTGTGTCTTTGCCCGTCTTTTCTTTTTTTTTGTTTGTGGGCATGTCAAAGTAGGGTCAGAGGTTGCCAGCACTTAACCTTCAGATGGAGTGCGACCTTTACCGCTGGCTCATCAGAAAGTCTTTATACCTCTCAGGTGGTCGAACAACTCGGCCACTTCTGGTTTGAGATGGCCTTGAGCTCAATGTCCATACTCTCTGTCTGGCGTGCTGGTCTGCTCATTATCCAGGAAGTCTGATTCTAAGTTCACCTGGACGCAGGGTGGCGTTTTCCTCAGGTGGCGTCTGTTGCGTATGTAGTGCTGACCGGATGGTGTCACTATGTCATGGGGAACGCGGTTCATCTCTCTGTTCAGCGACCACAGCTGGAGGCCAACCTTGTGCTGTCTCCCTGTGAACAGAACTACCTGGACGCAGCTCCGGTAGCCGCTTTGGTCCTCTGTTGTAGTACTGCTGCTGTTTGCAGATTCTGGAGAGCTGAGTGAACATCTTTAGGCACTGCAGGCTGGAGAACTGTGGTGGAGCTTGGTTGAGTGCTTCTGAGGACCCTGCCTATGAGCATTTGAGCTGGGGATTACTCCATCCCTGTTACAGGTGTGTTCCTCAGGGTGAGTCGTGCGAGGTGAGGGTCTGTGTTTGTTTGTGTCTTTTTGAGAACATGTTTCACCGTTTTCCCTGTTCTTTCAGCTAGTCCATTGGACTGTGCATAGCCTGGACTGGAGTGAGTGAGCTTTATGCCCCAAGATGTTGCAAAGTTTCTCATTTCTTGACTTGCAAATGGAATATGGTCACACACTATTTCTTTTGGTATCCCTATTCTAGAGAAGACCGCTTTCATTTTGCTGATGACTGTGTGTAATGTCTTCTCCTTAATGTTCAGTACCTCGTGGTATTTTGAGAGGAAGTCAACCATCAGCATGTATGACTGACCTTTTATTTCGAAGATGTCAGCTCCCACTTTTAGCCAAGGAAGCTCAGAGATGATGTGTGATATTATTGGTAGGATTATCCTGTTTCCAGTGAGCATCACCCCTTCTCTCACAGCCACTGTGTGTCTGATAGGCCAGTATTGTGTCAGTCTTGCTTCTACTTGTTTCCTGTGTCTGGGCCAACCATGTCTGTGTGTATCTTATACCTGCTGCAGTGTTTTGTCTTTTCTTAGTTGCGGACCTTAGCTGTTCTAGAGCCTCTGTACTCAGGGCATCTGTTGGCTCCAAAGCATAGATGACCTTCTCATCCGTGATGTCATCTATTGTTACACTTTGCTCTGGCATGACAGCTTGTGAGAGAGTGTCCGCAATCAGTAGTTCTTTGCCTGGCGTGTAGGTGACATT